TTTATTCTTAAAGTAAAGAGGGTCCACACAGATGACCAAGCTAACAGGTGGTAAGGAGGATTATACCACACATTAGTTATGGATGAGTGATAAAATCTGTGGTAGAATGTGTGATAAAATATTCATATGTAGCCATCGAAAGTCCATGGAATGAGCTTTACAATATCTTTGCAGCACCAACTTCAAGCAGCTGCAAGATTCCATTCAAATAAAAATTGTGATAAGAATTCACCTCTACACCACCTTGTTCACAACTCAGGTGAGGAACAACCACCTTTAGAATAAACCACGGAACCAAGGAAACTATTTTCAAGTCCAGCATCCAGATTTAGGGACCCAGTGTTTATTATAGCTATTGTAATAGGTCAGAGCTCACTCAACTCAACATGCCAATTGAGAAGGTCTGCCCCAAGGCACTTCAGAACAAAAGCTTATATATTAGTTCAAACACAGCAAACAAAGTGTTATAAAACATTTTTGCATATGTCAGGGAAGGTTACAGGTCATGAGAAGTAAAGCACACATGGCTCCATACTGGTATCGTCACGCCCACAGCACTTTGGAGTGGCCCCGATGTGCCCAGACCATTTGACCATTTTAGGTCTTGGATGTCCGGCGTTACCCTGGCAACGTAGCCTTCAATGAGGGAACAGCATCATAATACCCTCTACCTGGGTCTCAGATAGTTTAAAGGATAGCTGATTTACACTCTGGTGCTAAAACATCCTGCCGTTCGTACCACTTTCAGGGGTAAATAGGGAGAGATGGCATGCAGCGTAGGAGGGGGGAACTTGCAAATGCACAACACACAAAAATCAAGCCTAATACATTCTAAAAGGTAAGATGCAATTAAAGTGAAATATTAAAACATTATTAAAACAATAAAAATATACACCTGGGGTCACTAATTCTTATATCAAAATGAATGCAGTTTTTAAAAAAAAATCTAAGCATTTATTTAAGCACATTGTTGAATGTGGGCTGTAAGGGAGGAAACATTTCCTTATAAATTGCTACTTCCCTTATGAAGTGGAATATTGTGACTGCTTGGCAACTTAGGCCTTGGAAAAATGAAACAAACAGTTTAGTCAAACTGTGAATCTGCAAGATATTTTTTGAGGTTATTAATTGAATTGATGTTCAGGCTGGAAGCTACAAGTTAACACTTCTGCTGTTTGCAATGATCTCCTAATGACCATGATTATTGTCAAGGTTTCCCCTCAGGACATAACCACTAGGGGACGCACTGGGCTGGTCTTTTGTCAAACCAGATTTTTATGTGAAATTGCATCAAAGAAAATGGAAAGAGACTCTAAAGTTGTGTGGGGAACCATGGCAGCACGGCCGTTTCGATTTTTATCACTTGGAATATAGTAAGAACATTTGTGGGGGAAGGGAGGAACGTCAATTAATAAAATGGAAAATAGGCAGGCATGTTCTTTCATTAATCTAATTCTTTTACAGGACCTTGACATGATAAAATTACCAGCAGTTAGTTACTTAAGTAACAGAGATTTTGCCATTTTTGCCATTATTCTGCTGTCATGGCCAATTATTCATCACATATTAACAAATTATTTAAAGTTCCCTTGATTTCATCCGGATTCTGCATACTAAATAGGAAACTGTTACATTTCATTTCTATGGAGTCATTCTTCGTTGACCAACTTTGAATATCAGGGGTAGAATTCTAACTTAAGAACAAGGTACGTCCTAAGAGACATGAGGCATCCAATAATTCTATCAAGTTTTGCCTCATCACAGGCCACGATTCAGAGTTATGTATGTGGGCTAGGAGGCAAGTCACACCAACATATATATTGAAAAATCTAAGGAGTTCTGGAGCCTGCTGAAGTGTATGTATATTACAATGACTAATAAAATGCAGTATACCAAATTCTTACAGCTAAACCTTTTGACTTCTGCCTTGTGCAACTGCTCTAATGGATGCTGCAGTCAAGGCTGCTGTTATGGAACACTGAGGATGGAATAATCAGGAATGTTGCATGTTCTCTAGCTGAGTGATACCAAATCTAATCCTCCAATTAGAGACCATGTAAAGTGTCATGTGTATGAATTCAGAAGTTCCCTCTTGCTTCTAAAGTTTTGAACTGATGGCATTTCTGCTGCAATAACTGAAAAATCAGGGCTCCCATCCCCTGCAGCAGGCATTTAGTCTACCAAGCCCAAAAGCATAACTTAGCTCTGTTCCTCCCCCACAACCTTGAAGAAGTTTTGCAGTGTGCCTCCAATATTAACAAAACTGGATAGGAGAAACAGCTTCCAAGAATACGGGTCCCTCAGAGCGATACCTTGCCGCTAGCTTTTTCATTTAGAACTGCAAGACCTCCTGCTTATATGTTCCATTCTCAACTGTGATAGCTCATCTGCAGAGAAGACACAATCTCACACATAGATTCACATAGGTTCACTGACTGCAATCTCTTTGCATTGTCAGCTCTGGATCTCCTCCTCTCCCCCAGGCCAAGACAAGAAGTTTTGCTTTCTGCACGGCTGCCAGTAAAAGCAACAAGCCCATATCTTCCCCATTCTCCCCCATAACACTGAGAAATGAAGAACTGTCTGAGGTGACAAATGTGAGGTGCTGCTGTGATGTGCCAAGCTAAGCCCAAGTTTGGCTTTACACTTTGTTTAAACCCAGATTCATGGTTTAGCTCTGCAAGACTAGCCATGAATCATACACAACAAAGCTTGGCTATGGCTTGTGGTTAGTCTGGTTAGAGCTAAACCACGAGCCTGTGGTTTGGATGGCATGTTAAGCAAACTTAGTTCAGTGTGGCAAAGAAGGGGAAAGCATCTGCGAGCTTCCCTCTGGGAGGCTGTACACAGCACAATATGAGAATAAGAGTGGCGTGAATTTATCAATTTCTGTTTCCTCCAGTTTCTTATCTTTCCAATCTTAAACTCAGCTTTCCACATTTCTGCATCAGTTTACAAATTAAAAAATAATAATACTCATGGAAATTCATCAGCATTTTGGTATGAATGTATCCTAATATATACATTTTTTTCAGAGCAATTTTATCTAATAAAATACATTTTGGTATGCCGTTTTCACTTATATCTGCATTTTTAATGAGTAGCGAATTAAGCTGAGCAAAAAAGTGAGAGGCAGGATGTGCCAAATTTTGGCCTTGCACAGGGCACGGCTGAAATTTGAAAGACCAAAGTCTGCCCCTCTCTCAGAACAGAACAGAACAGAAGTCCCCTGTGCAAGCAGGGTTCTGGATCAATGCAAGCAATTGTAAATATATTACCGATTGCCATTTAAACCTTAGTTTAACAAGTCTGTCCTTGCTGCACAACAGTACAAATATGTCTTTCCCTGATAGCTGAAACCATCACAGTAGCAACAACAACAACAAAATTGTAGTGATTTTATAGGCAGGTAAGACACAGGCTTCATTCCTAGCTTAACCTTTTAAGGTCACAACTTTTGACACATTTATACTGAGGTACATGCTGCTGAAATCAATAAGAACCTGGTACCCTACAAGACTGTCAGTGGGAGATTCCTTCTTGTGGGTTTATCCCACAGAGCTGCTACAACATTTAAAGGCCCACAACCAGTGGGGCCAAATTGTTCAGGTCCGTAATTTGAAATCATCTCCTCCTATCCTGGTCTTTAAAATTAACTGAGTCCTTCCTGGAAAAGATATCCATTAAGGGCTGGCTGTGGCAAGCCAGAACTGTAGTGAAGATTTCTGCTGCCATGTCCTTGCCACCCTTTCCATTCAGCCCTTACGCTGTCTAAGGCACCCAGAGAACAACACAGCCAATGACTGAGCTCATATCACAAGAAGCAGACAGCTGTGCTTCCTATTGCAGGATGTCCTGTCCTTCCCTTTGGGCCACATTTGGTGCAAGTGTGTTGTCCATCCAAGCATGGGGGAGGCTGCTTTATGCTTCAGGAGTAGAAATACCGGTAGTAGTGGACAGCATGGTGGGACTAATCCTCCCTCCAGCTGAGTCGCTGCTGCATAGTAGGATGGAGATTGTGAGGGATGAGGCAGCGGTGAGGCCAGGGAAAGACAGATACACCAGTGGAGCCAATCCAGTCCTCCTGGTGTTGTGTTTGAACCACTCTGACCTAGTTGCCGCCTCGTGCCTTCCCCACTCTCTCTTGGTATGCAATATTGAGTCAGTCAGAGGGAGGTCAGGGGAGCGGAACAGTCCCACCACACCACCCGATACTGACCAGAAAACTTCCCAAATGTCCCCTATCTCCCTTTATTATAATATCATTGCTGGTTTAAAGTGTGTTTGCGATATTTTAATTACTGTTTTTAGCTAGCTTGTTTTTATTACTTTTTATTTTCTAATGTTGTTTTTAAATGTCATAAGACACCTTGAATCCCAACATGTGAGAAAGGCAGAGTATAAATATATTGAATGAATGAATGAATGAATAACCCAGTTCCTAGTACATTTAACCCATGAGTGTCCTCAGGTCCTTTGCCACTCTAGCCCTAAGACATTTCTTTCTTGCCACTCATATTCTTGGTCCTTCTGCTACTGACCTGCCAAGCCAGTCTAAAACCCATCTCTCTTTATATAGCTCATACAGCTTTCTCTTTGATAAATCTTAATAATGTACTGTACTTTACAACTTTGAAAATCAGCTCACTTGCAGAAAGCCCTCACATATAAATTAACAAAAATAGCTTTCATCCTTAAGTATGTGTACAAACACTGTTAATATGAAGCTGTTACTCTGCTTCTATTTTCTGTTGACTGCCACACAACCAATGAGTTTATAATCGACCAGTTCCTCAATCTGAATTAATTTCCAAACTACTCTTGAGTTAGCATGAATGAACACTGTACAGGAAACAAAGGACCATGACAGATTACCTGTTTACCCCAGAAATCAGACCCAGCTGGACGTTTTCTTCCTAAAGCCTTCAATAAGACACATATCCATTGTGATGGTTAGAACATGCCAGCTACTGACAACCCATTATGCTGATTTCCCTTACCTATTTAACATGTTTGATTGGTAGATCCTCTTGTCCTGTGTGTTGTAGCAACTGCTCTTGGGCTCAGGAATGAAGCTGTGCTCAGACAGCATGTCAGAAGCAGCCGTGGTTATTATGGCTATTCCGTCTTTCACCCTGTCGCGAAGGCCATAGTCCCATTCATCATATGACACAGAGATAAGTCCAGTGGGGAATTCAGAGGGGACTGTGTCTGTATCTCCAGCCACCAAGCTGGGTACAATCCATGTGTAATCGTACCCAGTCAGACCCACAGAGTTAGCCACCTCAAAGATATAGGTGGCTTCTTCCTTAGTACAGTAAAGGAGGATGACAGGACTCTGGAGTTTCTTGAGCTGATTCTGGATCTTTGAGTCTCCGTCATCCAGAGACATATCCAGCAAGAGCACCTCTTCTAGCTCCCAGCCCACAAAGCTGTTCTCAATAGTGCTACGGACCTTGTTGACAAAGTCCTGGTAGCCAGGAAAGTAGGTAGTGACAATGGAGAAGATGTACCAGTCATATTCTTCCATGATGTTGAGCATGACAGAAGCTTGCTGTTCTATTGATGGACCAAACTGGAAGAACATGGACGATTCATCCTGTAAGAGGAGAAAAGAAGGTGCAGGTGTTAAAAGAAGGAAATGGCAGGATATGTGGACAGCATAGGGAAGAGGGAACCATGCTCTTGTTGCTTTGCGTTTAGGTGCATGGCTGTACCTATAATTATGCATGCGTAATACAGCAAAATACAACATGAGAGAGGCATAAGATGCTCACAGATTGGTGGTTGGTTTTCTTTAAATCCTACAATCAGAATTCAAAGAAGGGAAAGTGATTTAGTCCAACAGCTTTCCTACAGAGTAAACTGTTGGTGACCATTGCTCTGTCCCCCATTCCCCATTCCCATTCACCATATACAATCCAGACCAGCCTGCTCCAACTCGAGATTCCAAGATTCCCATCATCCCTGACCATCGGTTAAAGTGGCTGTTCTATTACTGTTGCTGCCAGTTTGGCTTCACTGCAAAATTAAAACAGGGAAAAAGAAAGAAGGCAGTGTGCTGGGTGGGTGGCTTTTGTAGGATAGATGGAGTGACACATTTCTGACCCAGGAAAATCCTGTGCCAATCCAAGGAGAACTTTTGAGAACCAGGCCACCTCTGTCCCCATTTTCCTATTAAACACAGAGATAAAATGTCCCAGGCCACACATGGAAACTTGGCGGGGGTGGTGAAAGTGATTTTCAAAGTTTTCCACAAGGAGCTCAGGTTACAGTTTAGCAAAGCATTGCAACCGTTTCAAAAAATATTGTTTGTGGTAAAGGGCTAAATCAAGTAGCGGGTGACTGATGGAGCCCTTGGCTCTCATCCAGTTTATTACCAAAGACATTAGTCCAGCCCATTGTTGGCTTAAGCTGTGTACGCACTATGCCCTTAAAGCACATTCAAAACACATTTGTTCACTTCAGTTCTGAGCACTGTAGTTTACCCCTTGTAGAGTTACAACCCTGGCAACCCTGAAACTACAGTGTCCAGAATTCTTTAAGGGGGAAATATGCCTGTGTGATTATAAGCACTTGTCACTAAATCAATATTTTTTATTTTTTTATTTTTTTATTTTGCCAGATGGGTAGAGTATAAATAATAACATTATTATTATTATTATTATTATTATTATTATTATTATTATTATTTTCTGCAATTTAAAATGAAACTACTACAGAAATACCAGAGCTGAAAGTAGGGTTGCCATATGTCCTCTTTTTCCAGGACATGTCCTCTTTTTCATGGGTATGTAAATGTGTCCTCTTTTATGCTTTACAAAATATGACAACCGTATATGTCACAAAATATGCAATACCCACTGGAGGGGGATAAATGAGCAGGGTTTATGTGTTTTGACTACCAATAAATACTTGGAAGGGGGTGCATCTAAATAAATGAGAAAACAGGGTTATGTAGGTGGGATTGAAGAGGTATATTACAGGTTTTTGTAATCTCCACTGTAGCAAGCATTTTTACTGTGAAGATTTGTAATTATGAGACAGCGAAGAGTTTGGGAAGCTGAGATCAGGGAGCAGTTATTTTCCAGAGCAGAGTTTTCAGTTTCCATCTGGAGTAAACCTAGGTGGTTCTCACTAGCAGAAGTCTTAATGCTTTGCAAGGTGGGGCGGAAGGGGAGAGAGAATTTAATATACATATAATTTCCAAGATGGATATGAATGCACACCATGACTTTTCATCAGTTTCTGCTTCAGCAGGCACACCACCAACACTGCCACCAAATTGACAAACCAATTATAAACTCCAACAACATTTTTCAAAAGTGGGTCAGTGACCTGGCAGGGGGCTGAAGCAGCAGAGACTGGAGAAAAAGCAGGTGTGGATAAAGTATGGGTCATAAACACTATCCGTATGTATATGCATACATACATACATACATACATAACATACATACATAACATGAAATCCAGAGAAAGTTAAATCCCACTGAAATAAATTGTAACAGGAGTTTGGCAGTGTGTTTTAGTTTTAGTTTTATTTCACGGGTTTCTGCCTGTTGCTTTATCTGCATTGCATCCACATCATATACATGTTAGCAAGCATTATTTCCTTCCCAACACTGAAATCTCCCTGAATTAAAATTAAATTTTAACAATACTACTCCCATCATCTTTTCCATACATTAAAATGAAGAAAAGAAAACTCTTTACAAAAACCATCTCCTTTTAAATTTACCGTTGTTTAATACATCCAAGCAGCCCACATAAAAATGTCATAGGCTAGTTCACAAGGCATGTAGTCGCTGTTCTAGAGCCACTGTAATTTTGCCTATTACCGTAACATCAGCAGGAGGCTACTTCAGTTCGAGCAGAGGGGCTAAGATTGTTCAAACCAATTCAACCTGGCACCTAGCAAAATGCTCTTGAGTTTAATCACCATGACATTTCAACTACCCAAATGAACTTTAACAAAATTAGCCAAATCAGCAATCACAAGAGTGAGATCAACTATCGGATAAAGAGTGGCAATATCATGGAAGGAAAGAAGTGTTTCTACAGCAAGTGAATCAGATTGAGATTCTAATGAAGCACTATTGGAAATATCAATGAAAAAACATATCCATGGCTCAAAACCACACACAGGTTCTTTAGGATTTCACAACTCCAATTATTTTATTTGCAGCCTTTCCAGCTACAATGACTACTAAGAATAGATTATTTAAGGAGAGGCATTAGTTGGAGATAACATTCAGGTTTTGAATCAAGAGCTAAATAACTCATTTAATTTGTCGTAATCCCAACTGAGGGTACTTCCAGACTATTGCTATTTTGAGGTGGGATCACACTTTCTTTGATGCAATTTCATTTAGCCTTCCCACAAATATACCAGTGTGAATGCTCATTAAATAGCCAACACCATCTATTCCCCATGCCAACAAATCAGGATGAATGCTAAATAAACAGGCAGTATGAAAGTGCCCAGAGATATAATATTATTCTCTAAAATATAATTCTCTAATATTCACCAGGTTAATTGCATCTTCACAAGAAGGCCAATGCTTTTGTATGATGAAACTCACCAGTACAGAGCACTGCCCCCTCTTTTTTTTACTGTCCATTGCAGCCATTTTGTGCCGGCACCCATGGCACTTTTATCAAGATATGAGTACTGGCACTGAGTACCACAGAATGCCCTCTTGCCTTTCAATAGTTTGTCTTGTAACACATAAATCCCACCTGATAAAAAAAAATATTAATATTGCTATTTTTAAAATATTCAAATCCAAAATATAATCTGCATGGAGGAAGAAGTTTGAAAACTACCATTCCCAAATAGATGAATTTGGGGGGGGGCATGAAATAGCTGAATGGAAACTAAAAGCAAAGATTGATTCTATTTGTATGAGTCTGGATAGAGATAATAGTGAAATAAAGAGAATCATAGAATTGAAGAGTTGGAAGGGACCCTGAGGAACATCTTGTCCAACCCCTACAATGCAGAAATATGCAGCTGTCCCATGCAACCTTGGCATTTATCAGCACCATTCTCTAACCAACTGAGTTATCCACTAAATAAATAAATAGCTGTACTTTTGTGGCACCTTTGTTTCAACAAGCCAATCCAGACACATACAGTAGATGTTTATTGACAATTTTAGTATTTCTTGTAAACTGCTTAGAGGTTCTCCTACAATCAAGCAGTATATGTAAATTTTTCAAAATAATTTTTTTTAAAAAAAATCATAGTTTCCTACCTGACTACAAATGGTAATTTAGTCTTATCACCAATTACTGCCATTGTAAATAGCTGTGTTAAATTCTGTTAAATAAAATAGTCATATGAATAATATCAGATCCCCATAAAGGTCTGGGCGCATAGATGTGTTTTCAGGTGGCTCTGAATAATGGACAAAGGCTCTTTCCTGGGTAACCACACACCCCACTTGGCTCTGTGGTGGGACTATCAGGAGGGCTCCTCTACAGATCTTAACACATAGCCTGATAGTGGGAAGCTAATCAAATGAATAAATGCTGGTCCTAGACTCTGATTTTTGCATTTCATTGCCACCCAAACTCACATTTTACACTTTCCCTCCTGTGCCTTCAGAGGATGCCACTTCACACGTTTGATGAAGTGGCCTCTACTCAAGGATCGTTTATGCCAGAAGAAATTTAAGGTGCCGTGAGACTCCGCTGTTTTTGCAGCAACCAACTAACACAGCTAGCTCTCTGGAAGGTTTGGTTCTGATCCTCAAAAAAAATTGTTAGATCTTTTATTAAGGCATTTGAAATTATGCTGGAATTAAACCTATAGTTTGGGACTCTTTATGGAGCTTGAATATATTATGACTTCTTTAATATTGTATTTTTGCTTCTGGTACATCTGCTATCTGTCACAAGAAATAGGTCAACCAGCATGATCTATGAATCAAATGTAGGGGTATATTTGCATTGGCATTTTATCATTGGTTTACTGCCAGAACTACTGCTTTATGTGCTCGTACTGGGGTATGGTTTGCAACCTGATCAGTAGTTGTTTGCTGTAAATGATTGCTGGAAGTTCCAACAGTAATTTATTACTGTTTTCTGGTGTACTGTTGAAGAGATATGAGCAGTTCAAGAACATACTATTTCTATTCTCATAGGCAAAAAGAACTATGTCATTTTCAAGTGCAGTTTCACCCACCTTATTCAGTGCAAAATAATATGAGATAACCACCATTTTTCTTCTCAGGCTGGGGCAAAGGGAAAAAAGGACAACGTTTTCAAAGGCAGCAAGCATATTCATCTCCACTGCAGAGACAGATCTGCACAGCGCATAAGTGAAATACCTTATTACAGAATTTAATGTGGGATTAAATGTCACTTTGAAAAGGCAGCTGAGTGTAGCTATACAATTTCAGGAAAGGAAGAGGTTAAAAGGATGGTATTTTCTAGAACTGGTTTATTTATTTGTTGCATTTATTCATGACTTTCTATCAAAAAAGTCTCTAAGCAACTTACAGATATATAAAATACCAAACAGCTTCTGAACCATTTAAAGCCAAACAGAATAAAGTACAATAGAGCAAAAAAATTCCAAAGGTGTATTTATCC